TATCTGGATCTGATTGGACGGTCCTATCGTGGCACTTAACCTCTGCCCTAACCGTTTCACCTATACTGCCCATCAGCAGTCTTAATCTTTCCTCTGGTGACATATGTCTCGAGGCCCAGGCCGCTTTGACCTCTTCACTGAACCTGTTGGTTAAAGTTGGATCTCCGTCCCCGTAAAATTTGTTAATATGGGACTCTCTGGGTAGGACCACTATATGGGTCTGCTTCTCGTCCAGAGTAGACATTTTCTTCCTTAAGTACTAAAAAAAAGAGTTCTTTCTTACCGTGTGTGTATGAACAATTTTTCCTCGTTCCTCAATTTTCACAGTTCCTGAATGTCCGAATTCACACACACACTAAACACAGTTATGCACAAGGTTGACTATAGGTGCCTTAAACGGCAAGTCTAGTTGAATTCATCCTGATCGCAGCGCCAATTGTGACGAGCGAACATTTATCCTGCCGACAACGCCAATTGTAACGAGCCAACAGTTACCATGCTCGCAACGCCACATGTAATGAGACCTAATTGCCTGTAGTGCCACGTGTTAACGAGTTTAACCACTCATTCTAGACAACATTGACCACAGTATAGATACTCAAGATGCAGGTTCGCTATTGATCCTTTATTACATGAATCAAGAAATGCTTCATAATAACACAATAAATCAACAGGAATGCTTCTCAATAATAGTCTGAATCAACTGACCCCTAACAGTCCTTCACTAGGCTTCATATAACTGAATCCACATGTCTATAATCCTCCTTAACACAATACGGCTAACCCGTTCTATAACCGACTTGACATAGTCACACAGACTGACTGATCTAAGCGAGCGATGAAAGAGGCAAGAGCCTCGAAACGGGAAGAGAGCGAGTTCTGCCGTCCCCTCCTATTTATGCCTTGAACTCGTAGTCGTACTTGTCTCCATTTCCGTAATCGATACTTGTAATCGATGTATCCGAATACTAATGTCGCAGTTTCTGACGTACCGTCCGATTCACTAAAACATCTGCGTCCCATCCATCAAAGTTGACAGCTCGTCTGAAACTTCTCGTACCGTTTCCCAAAATAGCACGCGTTGGCTTTGAGATTGTTATCAGACCGATCCAATAAGCCACCTGTTATGGTTGCGTCAGATTTCATACTGCGTCGCGGCTTCTCGTTCGTTATCATTTGTAACTGGTAGTTAGGCCTACCCCAGTTACATATATATATATATATATATATATATTGTTTATATACATATATATTGTTTATATACATATATATATATATATATATATATATATATATATATATATATATATATATATATATTGTTTATATACATATATATTGTTTATATACATATATATATATATATATATATATATATATATATATATATATATATATATATATATATATATATATATATATATATATATATATATATATATATTGTTTATATACATATATATTGTTTATATACATATATATATATATATATATATATATATATATAAAATAATATTTATTCAAATAAAAACATACACACGTTTCAACAAAATAAAGTAATTTTTGTTTCGAAATAAACTTCTTCAAGCAAGGCATATGCTGGGTTTTCCTTTCTTTGCAGTTTTACATTTAGCTCGTTTAGTTTCTTAGTGATATCCCCATATGAAGTCGAATGTTTCAATTTGGGATAGACAAGTTAATAGGAAGTACATTGAAATAGGTAGTAGTTAATATTCTAATAGAAACGCGAGTGCTTATTGTTTATGTTTATTATTATATAGTTCATTACCGAGTGTTGCAGAACAATATTTTTATGAGTTTTAAAATTAAAATAAAATAATGATTAATATTTGTGAATCGAGTTGAAGAGCCGCATCTCGATACCAAAAGAGCCGCATGCGGCTCGCGAGCCGCAGGTTGCCGACCCCAGATATATGTGGAAGAGAGTTTTAAATTATTTTATCTTTTAAATATTTTTAGATAAGCAATTTAAAAAAAAAGAATAAAAAAAAGAATTGTTCTTTTATGTTCATCACATTGTGAGACGAAATTTCGATAAAATAAATCTTAAAAAAAAAACCTTTTTTTTTAGTAACAAGCTTTTATATAACCATGCACTAAAAAGTAGTCTAAATTTTGCTCGGCAGTTTCGATCTATGATGGCCAAAGCAAGCACGAGAAAGCAAGTCTAGTAAAAACAAAACTCTTCTCGCTGTTTGACCTTTCACTTGATGGAGCTGGTTTAGAACTTCACACCTACGAGTTTTATGGCCAAGCTTTCAATTGTGGGGTTCCCTTTGTTGAAAGTCTTTAATTGCTGTAGTGGTTGTAAAGGTGATACGTGAGATGCGAGTAGGTTCACAGGGAGCCTAGGACGCCCCATCCATAAACCACGTCTTTAGTGCATTCTCTCTTTATTTGGGTGTTTTTTTATTGTTTATTTAAATTCACCACCAAAGTTTGATCTAGCTAAAAAATCAAAGGAGGTTTATCAGGGTACATTAGAATTTTTTTTTTCAGTAAGCCTTGAGGAAGGTCGAGTCAAGGGTATAGCAAGACTATTGCTTAATTGCTTTGTTGCTTAAAAATCAAAATTTTATTGAAATTAAAAAAAGAAAAGAAACGAAACGAAACACTGAAAGATCAAGAGTGCGGTTTTCTTTTGATAACATTCTGTGGTGATATATAAATTCCCTGATCTTCCGTGGAATTCAATTTCTTATAAATTTCTAATTAGAGTACCGGAAGTGAATACAAATCAATCGTCAAAGTGAAGGTAGAATGGGATTTTTTAGCAAATGAAATTACTTTTAACTGCATTTTACGAGTTGACATTAAAAAATAACTTATGGAAATAATATCCGTTGCCAAAGTAATGAAGTAATAAACTGATCTAGTTCAATAGAGGTGGGTCTTATTTCGAAAGACAGGGACAAAGACCAAAGTAAACTATTCCTTTCATTAAATGTATTAAAGATCAACGATATACTCCTTTCAGTTAACCGTATCCCAACACTGTTTGTTTACCTTTTTCAGCCAATCTCTAAACTTCAATACAAGAAAAAATACTTTAGTAAATAACTTAGACAATCACATATAAAATTAAATGAAAAAAAAAAAAAAAAAAACGGTGAGTATATTCAATTGCCAAGTTCTTTTATTTGAATGTGTTTTGACATAGAATAAACAAATGTAACAGTAGTATATGAAATTAAATAAGACGTATAACATATTTAAGTGTATATTGTACACACTTAATTCTCAATATACACACGTCCTTATATACATTATATTTTACTTTAATGAACTCTGTTCACAAAATCATCATACAAAGATAGTTGTATGGATGTGAATAGGTCCAGTGTATATTATAAATAGCTATTCAAGAGTTTTATAATACATATCTTAATTATGTATATGCATGTGAACCTATATATATATATATATATATATATATATATATATATATATATATATATATATATATATATATACATATATGCATTATGTATGTATATGTATGTATTTATATTTATAAGCGAGTATGTGTATGTATATATGTATATATGTATATATATATATATATATATATATATATATATATATATATATATATATATATATATATATAGATAGATAGATAGATAGATAGATAGATACATACATAGCAAGAGAGAGGCCTACATATCATATGTATATGCAGATGATATATAGATCAAATAACATTGTGTCAGATTAGAAAAGATAACATTGTGTCAGATAAGAAAAGATAACATTTTATACCTGTATAATATGGACACTGTTACAGTAACTAGGTAACATATATACGTTGTTTCATAAACAAAAGACTCACAATACAGACCAGGTAACAGGTCATATTTGTAACATGTAAGTATTGTTACACAATCATATTGGATACGTTATTGTTTGTTTAAATATTACTGCTAATTGCAAATGTTTTATTCTTAAAAATGTTGAATAAAAAGGATTGATAAATAATTTATTGTTCAGGTGTTTATATTACAAAGATTCTTTATTCAAAATTAATTATACGTCGGTTTTTGGTTAAGTTAAGGGGGTAGGCTCAGGAAAAAAACGGGTAAAATTTTTTTTAAATTAATAAGCCTTTCTTATTTATTTGTGTATGTATAAGTTAGGGTACTTAAGGGAAAATATTTGCATGTACCAGGGACTCTTCTGAAAATATGGTTGCCATGGCCACGGCGGCCATCATGGAAAAACTACCCTTTGTGAAGTTCTAAAATGTCATAAATTAACATGTAAACCGCCCATATAATCATTGATCCTTCTTGTACTAACACTAACAGTGGCTAGCTGGCTAGTTTCTGTAACCGAAAAACCGCTAGAAATATTTTTTTTCAAATTTTCAAATTTTTTTATGGTGAAAAACCATTAAATTTAACATTAATTTCAATGAAATTTCACCATACCAAATTGTGAAAATTAAAAAAAAAATATTTCTAGAGTGTTTTCTGTTACAAAACTAGCCAGCTAGCCACTGTAAAGCCCCTAAGAAGCAAAGGGCTGCAACTACACCTCTACAGTTCTCTTTTGTTGGTCCCGCGTTGGACAAAGACTGAATTGATTGCAACTGTTTGACCGCAGAGAATGGGTTCAAATGTCAATTTATGACATAAGCAGAGGAGTATGATTATTCGGCCATTCAAGAATATATATATGTATATATATATATATATATATATATATATATATATATATATATATATATATATATATATATATATATATATATGGATACCATTAAGAAAGCCTTCTTTATATCAGAGGATTGGAGTTTCCAAATAAAAATACATACATCACAGCCGTCCCACTTGACAATTAGAAAGTGAGAAAAATATATTCTAGAGTTCAACATTAGTAGAAGTTCATAGATTTTCCAGTAAACTAGAAATTTTATCTTGAATCAATTTAAACTTTAATCAATTTAACCAATTTGTAAAAAGTAAACAAAGTTAATGTACAATTAACAAAACTTAAGTTGATTAATTTACATAGTGAATTATCTTTTACTCATGATCATCGTCTTTTCCCGTTCGCGGGTTAGGTGAAGTAGAGTTCATCTGCTTCAATGACCTCGGCATAGGAGGAGGATAGTGTGGTCAGCTCTATGTCCAGCTGTATTTATTTCCCTAACGCGAGTCCGGTACCCATCAGAGCTGGATGGACTCAGGGACGTCCTACAGTCTCGACTCACGAGTCCGGACTATTATCTTTTCCTATTATTATTAAAACTGCGGCCAGTAGTGATAATCTTAAGGCACCATGAGAGTCACGTGTGATAATCCAGAGTAACCATGAACATCACGGGCGATAACCCGAAGTCGCTATAAACATCAAGGGTGACAATTTGGTTTCTATACACATAAGGGTGATAAGCTTAAGTCACTAGCATGTTATGTACTTCAAGTCAAACGTATGTGTCTTTATGTGTGACGATTGTTTGAACTTGTTCTGGCCGTTTGTTTTGGTGTAGAGGGTGAGGTACTTGGTGTATAGGGTGAGGTACCTCTTGAAGTTGGTGAGGTACTTGGTGAAGAGGATGAGGTTCCTGTTGAAGATGGTGAGGTACCTGATTTAGAAGGTGAGTTGCCTGATGTAAAGAACGAGGTACTTGTTGAAGAGGATGAGGTACCTGTAGAGGCTGGTGAGGTACTTGGTGAAAAGGGTGAGGTACTTGGTGAGATACTTGGTGATGAGAGTGAGGAGCTTGGAGGCTGTCGTTCTCGTGAATCCGAAAGGTGTTGACGTTTGTTGGATTAGGATTTAGATTTAAGTTATCAGAATAAAGCGCTGATGGTTTGGTATTACGACTCAATCGGTCGATTTGGGTTAAGTCTATGGTGATAGCTTGATTCATATTCGGCGTGTGATGATCATCAAGACTATGCTTTGATTTATGTGCGAGTTTATCTGAGTGATGGGGTCGAGAGTTCTCTGCGATGAGAGGTAACGAGGGTGGGTTCGAACCTTGGAATGAATGCGTTGACTGGCTCCCAAGCCCGCTACTGCTAGAGTCAAGGACGGAACTGGAGTCGGAAGAAGTTTTGGTGACGATGCTGCAAGTTCCTTTTCGATGAGCGGTGGGTTGTAATGTCTTCACCGGAAGTGGCTTGGCATGAGTGTCGAGGTTGCAGACGACGGCTAGCCTCGCCATGCATTGGTCAAGCTCGTTGGTGTACGTATCGTAATCGGAAAATCTTCCAGAATCGATACTGTCACTATGGACGCTGTCTTTGTCGATAAAAGTGTTTATTTGTACCGGTTGGGGTACTTGGTTTTGATTTAGTTTATACTGTTCGAGTTTCGGAATCTCGTAGAGTACAACGGGATTCCCGTCTGGGTCGTGGACCAAAAAATGATGCGCAGAAAGACGATGCGCATCTGATGGTAAAATGGCGAGAAGGTCTTGGAGGTTGTGTACCGGAAAAGTGAGGTAGGCGTCGGTGAGGGGGTACGGCGATACTTGCGGGCTGTGTTTGAGCGCCAGTTCACACATTGCTTGCGGAGGATTCGCATTGTCTATATGGTGAACTTTACTCAGAGAGAAGATACTAAACCCAGGCTTCCGGCTTTCCATTTCTGTGCCGGTTATCAACCGGTAAAACTCGACCATGGCGTTGAACCTCCGCACGAACACGTTGAAGCGGACGTAGCTTAAAGTATGCGGCGAGTCGCAAACGCTGAAGAGAGGAAGTTCACGCGACAGGAAGTAAAACTCGTGCTGTCCTAGTACGTTGGACGACCCCGCCTTCTGAAGCTGTATCGTGTGGTGGTGACGCCACGGAAACTTTTTAAAATTCCCGCGCACCTTCTCCGCGCATGCGTCGCCGAACTCGGACACAAACATCATCACCGATAAAGCAGGGGAAGACAACTCCTCGTCCACCACACCGAACTCGGGAACCGGGAACGGGGTTTTTAAAGGGACGCTACTCGTAACGTTGTCCTGTATATCCAGGTGGTCCGCTAAACATTCCATGTTTTTCAAATAAGGTTTCAAAAGCCTGCACATGTCTTTTTGCCTCCCGCTGGGTACAGTTATAGTCAGAAATGCAGTCTCTCTTTCAGGGGGGTAAGTATCGCTGACGCACCCTGGGTCTATGCTACCCTTTCTTTCAGCCATAGCAAGGAAAGCAGCGCGTCATTTTGCCTTCTTCACGGAAATAAAAAGTGGTCACAAACTCGAAATATCCTTCATGCTCAAGCTAGTTTAAATTGAAACTGCTACACACACAATGAAGCGTTGATTGTCACAAGATATAATTTAAAGCCAACAACACGCTATTTTTTCAGTATGTTGAAATGCTAAATTCACAATGAAGACTAGGGATGTAAGAGAAGTATTCTTATACTATCACAATAGATCACTGCGGCGTAGCTATTCAGTCGTGATCTCGCATCTAAAGAGACCACAATTCATCTGATTCACCCTGAAGTTAACACTTTAAAAGCGGGATGAATTTTCACTTAAAATTTCTGAACATCCACTGGGAAAAGGTATCTACAGCTGCTGTTAAACTAGTCCTCAGCTGTTAAACCAGTCTCCAAATGTTAAACCAGTCTCTATCCTGTTGAACCAGTTTATAGTTGTTAAACCAGTCTCCAAAATGTTAAACCAGGCTCCAGATTATTAAACCAGTCTTCAATTGTTAAACAAGTATCCAGTTTTTAAAATAGTCTCCAAATGTTAAACCAATATCCAGATGTTAAACCAGTATTCAAATGCTAAACCAATATCCAGATGTTAAACCAGTCTCCAACTAACGAAACAGCCGACAGCTGTTAAACCGATCTATAAAAGTCAAATTACTCCCCTGCTGTTAAACCAATACTCGGGCTATTAAATCAACCTCCAGCTGTTAAACCGAATTCCGAAAGCTAAACAAAAAAATGTTAAAAGCTATACATGACTTCTCTCTCCCTATGAATCTCAACCATCATAAATTCAACGTTAACAAACCGAAAGTCCGCGTGAATTAAAACACCTTTAGAAATCAGAACGCGGATTCCTTATATCCAGCTGTTCTTTTCTTGAATGTTCTTGCCAAAACTTTGTCAAATATTCACAACTCGTACTTAAAAACCCCAAAACTGGAGACAGGCGAGTTTAACATTGCAAAACGTTCGTCTCTTGGTCGTCCGCGTATTTTTTTTTTTTTTTTTTTTTTTTTGGCGTCTTAATGCTAGTTTTTTTTTTTAAACAGAATCAATTAGAAGTAGCCCGATGTTCTGCCAGCCAGTGCTACCTCTGTGGCTACACTCCAATGAGAAACACGATCCCCTCCGCTATTGGGGATCTTTCAGCTGAGACGGCAAAAATCCCCCGCGTCGCTCGTTTCTCGACGTATTGCTATTCCCGTCGTCCTGTCGTCATCGCTTTAGACGGAGAACGAATTTGGGCAGGTTTTATATACTGCGAACGACGTGGAAAAAACAAGTCATTTCATTTGATCTTTTTAAAAGCAGTTTTTTTTCTTTCATGCATGTGGGGTGTTCCTTATTCCTATGATGACAAATGGAGGTGTTGTTCTTTTAATGTCGGCACCTTAGTTGATTTGTGGCGACTGGGGCTTGAAATCTGAGTAGAGAATTAATTAGAAATGTTAATTACATTAGCATAATAATAATAAATGTTTCTTCTATGACTTCAGACAAGAGTTTATTGAATTTAATTACTGCTAGAATTACAACCATTACCAAGGCTATGAACTAAATCATAATCATATCACATAAACGTAGAGAAAATATGTCCGATACTAGAGTATATATTCAATACGATTGAAGAGCTGCTGATTTGTGATATACACAAATAATTGGTATATTTTCTTATGAATTTATATTTTATTCATTTTTTAAAATTAAAACAACATATAATTAAGAAGAAACTTAATTTAATGAAATAAATATAATATATTGAGTTATAGCTTTTTCTAAGCAGATTAGTATTAACTGTGCTAATAGTTAAATAAAGTGCTTTGTTCGACCAAGTGGTCCATGATATAGATAAAGTATATTTCACATATTTTCTGTACCTCAGAAAATGAAGAGAACGGATAATCAGAACTTTAAAAAAAACCAACTTAAAACCTCTTAAACCAACGCTTTTTTTTCCTACTGTAATATATAAAGCTACGCAAAAGTCTCGAGTTCGAAACCTCGGGCAGATGAAGCTCAACAGCTGGGGACAGCAACTCTCCTAGGAGAGACAACTCCAAAATCAAACAACAGCTGTCTTGTAATTTGTTCTTAGTTGGACAAAGGCTATGGAAGCAAATCCAGAAAGAAAATCAGACTGAAATTGGAGTCAACGGCCAATATGGCGCATAACCCGGATACGGGAAAAGCAAAAATTTTCTATATAAATTCTATTTCGTTCGGAAGGGGGTGGGGGAAGAGGTCGGTGCAATGCAACCCCCCCCCCCCCCCCATCCTGAAGAGATGCTTAACAGAAACACGCGAGTCAGGTACCCACCAGGAATGGGTGGAGTCACCAGAGTTGGGTTGACTTAGGGACGTCGAACTCAAGACTTACAAGTGCCCTCTATTGTCCGACCACCCCCCGTTCCACACTCCTTAGCAAAGTTAAAATAAAAGAACAATCTTCAATCTCTTACTTCCGTATCAGAAACACCCCCACCTAAGAATCACACACACACACACACACACACATATACACAAACACACCCACCAACTGCACTGGTTAACCTGTAGTCAGTTTACCACAACTTTTTTTATGAAGTGTTTTCCCCTAACCATTTTTAATCTAACGACTTCAAAGCGTGGTGTCAAAAAACACGACAACAACATATACACACACACTTAGAAAAAAAAACCACGAAACATTCCCGTAGTGTGTTCATTCAATTTATAATTCGCCTCAATACAACCTATTTATATCTGCAACATTTTAATGAAAACCGCGACGGGAATATGGGGCGAAGATAGCTGTTAAATCAATTATAAGTTTGTTTCTCTGTTTGAAAAGAACGGGCCCGGTTTGTATGCCTTACGCAGATTAAACGTTAAGTACACAGCGCGCTTTGATCATTTGCTAAACAGAGTTGTCTACGGGTTACACCGGCGTTATGTCCCCTTATCTTTCTAAACTAAAGATGAGAATACATCGGCGTAGGTGTATTTTTTTTTATCTTAAAAAAAAATCATTTTTATAAGTAAGTCTCTAAATTTAGAGTACACGAGTTTATCTAAGTACAATATCAAATTTCGGGCGGATCGGGGAGTTACACTTTTGTAACAGACACACAAAAACTTGAACGGGAGAAGTTTAATCCGGGGAGATGAAAGATAGAGAAAAATTTTGGATTCGAGTTACGTCCCTTGAAAGCGTTAGTATCTTTAAGTTGGTATCTGATTTTGGGTGCATTTATTAAAAGCGAGAAGTGGAAAACTTATAACAACATTTCGAGGAGTTGAATGTGCTTTTGTGTGTTTATCTTAGGACTTATAAAACACAGATAGTGCGTATACGAGACGTTTTTAATGTTGCTCGTATAGAAAGAAAGCCTAACCTTGACTCTAATCTAAGTGAGCATTGACTATAAGTAAGTAAAGTTCTCTCTTAAATCTGACGGTCCGTGAGACAAATGAAGTAGAGTTCACCTGTTTCTGTGACCTCGGTATATGAAGGGATAGTGTGACCAACACTATGCCCAGCTGTATTTACTTTCCCTAACGTGAGTTAGTAACTCATTAGAGCTTTGTGGACTAGAGAATTTAGGTTGAGCCGTCTAGCGCTCGACCATTCGATTACTCCGTCCCACAGACTCTACCCATATTGTGGATTATACTCCTGATCGCACACCCATTCCTTAAGCTGACCGACCATAAAAATAATACTACAAACAAAACAACAACGATTCGATACTACATTGCATGCTTATCCATGGTTTCATGAAGGTTTTATATTACGATTGCACCGTACTATAGCTTACATACGTTGTTGTAGTGTTTAGACTTAGAATAAAGGGGGCGGTATCACCGGGACAAAAACAATTCACATAAAAATTCACAAAAAAAAATATTATGTTCTTGTGAGATGGTAGGTCTATGTCATGTAGGTTAGCAAGTCAATGTACTTGTGAGATTGTTGCCTTTGTCCTAGTGAGACAGTAGGTCTATGTCCTAGTGAGACATTCTATATTCTAGTGAAGCGGTAGGTCTAAGTCCTATAGGTTAGCAGACCTATGTAGTTGTAGGAATCAGGCCTATGTACTTGTCTGAGTCAGGTCTTTGTCTTAGTAGGACAGTAGGCCTATGTCCTAGTGGGATAAGTAGTCCTATGTCCTAGTAGGACGTTTGACCTTTGTTCCAGATGGACAGCAGACCTATGTCCTTATAGGACGGCAGACCTATGACCTTATAGGACGGCAGACCTATGACCTTATAGGACGGCAGACCTATGTCCTTATAGGACGGCAGACCTATGTCCTTATAGGACGGCAGACCTATGTCCTTATAGGACGGCAGACCTATGACCTTATAGGACGGCAGACCTATGTCCTTTTAGGACGGTAGACCTATGTCCTTATAGGACGGCAGACCTATGTCCTTTTAGGACGGTAGACCTATGTCCTTATAGGACGGCAGACCTATGTCCTATTAACTAGCAACAGACTAATTAACACATGAAATACAGCGCAAGTAAATATTTGACATCTAATTTCCAAACGTACACGGCTTATATGCGGAGTTCCAACATTATGGACCATAGTCTGTTATGGTCCATAATCTATTTCGGACCATAATTTATGATTGACTACAACGACCAGCGCATACAGGGAAACAAATATGTGGTGATATATGGGAGGAGACATGCCTGTATGATGTGGCAGTGTTAAACCTACAGTCAACAGTCAGTCAACATCAAAAGTAGATAATCGCTTTCGCATTATCCACCTATCTTGGAATCTTGGAATTTATGCGCAGCGGCGTTTGGCTTGTTATCAAAATCAGGGGGTCTTAAACTGTAATATATGAAGGTCCCCTAACAATTGAAAATAGAGAAAGTTGGACGATGTGTTTTATGGTGATCAATATTTTGGTAAATTTTGACTCTTGACGAATTTTTTTTTAATGGCATTCGGGTTTTTGGCTAATTATCTCTCGGGAATTTTAGGATGTGGGCAAAACAATATTTGGGCGAACTGAAGATTTAGGGAAAACGAGTGACTATCTTAGGAACAGAATATAAACAAATGCTTAACACCCACGCATATAATAAACATGTGTGCTGCAGAAATTATCGTTATCTTAACTTGCGGCAAATAGGAGCGATTTGAAGTGTAGATAATCCCCAAAGCATAAACTTATTACCTTGAAAAGACAGAGATTTATACACAGTCTATATTCAAACAGTGTGTAAGGGACGGTGCGTCTTAGCGGTAGAACGCAAAACTGCTAACCCGAAAGTCTCGAGTTCGATGAGAAAGTCCACGATTCCACCCATCTCTGCTTCATCTACACCATGTGTCTTGGGCACATATATGCTATACACTATTACTAGCCTAATTAAAAAGAATAGGTACTGCGTGACCTAGCGGTAGAGCTCTAGACGGCTAACCCGAAGTCTTGAGTCCAATCCTGACCACACTATCCATTCATATGCAGATGTCACAGAAGCATGTGAACTTTACTTCACTTGCGTCATGTTCGAAAAGTGAACTTTACTTAAAAAGACACATAAAGAAAGAAATACGTACAAATATGTATTGCAGACTATTAGTTTTTATTAAACAATCTCGTTAACGTCAATAGGGCATCTTTGAAGGGGAGGTCACTCCAGTGGCGTAGCGAGGTCGGGTGTCACCCGGTGCGGCACTTAATGGTGTCACCCCCCAGAGGCGTAGTGACCCTTCCCGGGGATAAACATTCAAATTTTCGATTTGCAACCCCCCCCCTCAAACTTTCGATTTGCACCCCCCCTCAAGTTTTTCTCTATATATTATGCTATTTTTTGTCTTGGTGTCACCCCCCCCCCCTAAATGGTGTCACCCGGTGCGGTCCGCCCCTCCCCCCCCCCCCCGCGCTTCGCCTCTGGGTCACACTATGAGTTTCGTTGGCCTAATCTGTTATGTTATTCAGAACCACAGACCTCCCATAAACACCAGTGAGAAGGCTAGTACATTCAAGTAGAATAAGGGTCGAAAGACCGCCACACCCATCACGCCGATGTGAAGCACCAGGGGTTAGAAACCTATATAATATACTCTTAGAGGTACAGATGTGAAGTGCCAGGATTACAAACTTCGATATTTCTCTTAGAGGTCGAGATGTTACCTCAACAAAGGCTCAGTGTAAGCAAGCCACAACACTTCAGAACGAAGAACTATGCAAAACACAATACAACACAAAAAATTCCACGCGAAAAAGAAGAAAATAAAACTTAACAAAGAAAAACACAGCACAATAAAACGAAATAGAAAAAAAAACATAACAAAACATTACACAAAACATTACACAAAACAAAATAACACAATAAAACAACAACAAAACACACACACACACACACACACACACAAACAGACACAATAAAACAAAAGAAAAGATAAGACACCTCTA